TGTTAGTATTATTTCTTTCTTCTTTCTCATTGCTGTTCTGTATAAAAAAAACGTATCAAAAATAAAAAAAATAAAGTATAAAAAAAAGAAGGAAAAAACAAAACAAAACGCTTCCACCATCTTACCTTTTGTGTTTCATCTTTTTTCTCTTGTTTGAGGATGTCAGTGAGGTTGATGAGCTTCTCCATGGCCTCTACCTGCCTGCTCAGGTGTTTCAGGTACATGCCGCAGGCTCTGCAGTAAGACTCCAACAGCAGCCCAAACCTCTGGCTCACAGTTTTATTGTGCATTTCTGACCTGTGAGTTAGACACGAAGCAAAAGGATAGTGCTGAGCTAGATGCAGCTAAAAAGGCAAAGGCATTTGCTGCGGAAAATGAGTGTGTGACTCACTTCAGATGCCAGAAGAAGAAATGTCCGATCCTTTGATTGGTCAGGGCTTTTTTGAGGAGGAAACGTGCCAGAGGATTGTCAAGGTACTGCTCATATTTTAATACCTACAAGAAAGATACGCAAGGGGGGCTGTCATTTAGCCATTTTGCAAATCGTGGCTTTTCATCAGTGTTTATAGGAACATAAATTATCAAAAGATATGTAGTATGGCAAAAAGAAACTGAGCAGTTTTTAGTACTTTCATTTATAGGCCCTGCTTAGGCTCCTGTGTCAGTGCAGGAACATAGAAACTTATCAATGATAACAGTGAGTAAGACTTGCTACATCGTTTCCATGTCTGCAAACCACAGTCCTTCTACAGTTTCAGCTGTTGTCCAATTAGTCTTTGTTAAGATGTGGATAACAGTAAAGATCCAGATGGTTGCTCTGCTTTATCCGGTGTGCTTTTATTCTGAAAGGGAGATTGATTCATGCAGAAGTCCGCGCTGAACGAGGTCAGCCATATAGGGTTCGAGGGACTCCTACAGACTGTCAGAGCTGAAAAAAATGCATAACATGAAAAGTGCCCTTTTAATAAGGTTACACTAACATTTATTTGACTAACCTGTACAAGCTGGATGAGGTACTGCGACAGTTTGTCATCCGTCAAGTATTTGTCAAGGCAGCGGACAGCAAAGTGCCTGACCATGGGGTCTGGATAGTTACAATCCAACAGCTCCATGGCCTGCTCCGGCCGGATAGACGGCCATTCCTTTAACAGGCAATACATCTGGTAGACAAAGAAATACTTATGAATGAATCTGCTTCAATGTTTGCAAAGGTACCACAAAGTTATTAAAAAAACAGACAAATTTGCACATTGAAAAAGACTTTTCTTGAAGGTAAATACAGCTTAAAACGAGTTCACATATTTAGGATTTAAGGTTTGTTTATTTTAGAGGCAGTTCCAAATGTTAAAAAAAATCAGATGATCAATTTTTAAAAAGGATCCATGATTAGTTGCAACATCAGACTTTCTTTGATAAACATTTATTTTAACTGTAAAATAAAGACTGTAAAAATACTGTAGGCTGGTCGGTTTTGTAAATTTTTAAAAATATATTTTAACACGGACGGAGCTATTTCCACCCTGAAGGTTAATCTTGGACAATATCTGACAATTGGCTCTATTAAATGATACTAGTGCTGTACCAAACGATTATTTTCTAATCGATTAATCTAACGATTTTTTTTTCGATTACTCGATTATTC